TTACAATCATTTTAATAGATAGAGCTGGGCACAGTGGCTCATGCCTGTAATCTTAGCACTTTGGGAGGCCAAGGTGCTTGGATTACCTGAGCTCAAGAGCTTGAGACCAACCTGGGCAAGATGGTGAAACCCTGTCTCTACTAAAATACAAAAAATTAGCCGGGCATGGCAGCATGCACCTGTAGTCCCAGCTACTTGGGAGGCTGAGGCAAGAGAATTGCTAGAACCCTGGAGGCAGAGGTTGCAGAGAGCTGAGATCGTGCCACAGCACTCCAGCCTGGGCAATAGAGTGAGACTCCATCTCTGAAAAAAAAAAAAGATGCAAACATTTTAACAATTGTTCTAAATGCTTATTAGTTGTTTTTCAAATGACTTTTTTGGGGATTTTCTAGGATACAGTTATATTGTCCACAAATATAGATTTTACTTTTTAACAATTTAATGTTCTCAAAAATTGTCAGTAGTTTGGTGTAGTTGAGTCAACGCTTCAGAGGGTGGCAGTTAGAGATAACCCAGCAGAGAGAAAGTGGATCTGGATCATGAAGTCCCAGGAATGTTATGCTAATAGTTTTGGGTTTTATTCTGTAGAAATGAAGAGAGGTGGACAATGAAATTACATTCTTACTTTACTCCATACACAAAATCAATTCCATATAGATTATGAAGTAAATGTGAAAGGGAAAAATGTAATGCAATTAGAAGAAAAGAGGACTGTCTTCATGACCTAAGCACATGGAATAATTTATAAAAACAAACATAAAAGACATAATCCATATATTTTCACTAACAAATATTTATTGAATGCCTACTACACCAGAGACTATTCTATGTACTTGTGATGTATTAGGAGACTGAACAGAAAAGACTAAAATCCCTCCCCTCATGTAATTTTATATTCTTAGATTTTACAAAAAATAAACCCAATATGTAATAAATCATATAGTTTACAAGAAGAAAGTGAATCCAGATGCCATGGCTCACACCTGTAACCCCAGTACTTTGGGAACCTGGGGTGGACCGATCACTGGAGCTCAGGAGTTTGAGACCAGCCTGGGCAACATGGCAAAAACCCATCTCCACGGAAAAAAAAAACCAAAAAACAAAACCAAAACAAAACCCCACACACCCACACGCAATAAAATACAACTATCTGAAACCACTAATGAAATAATGAACCTAGGCAATAATGATCAATGGCTGTGAAGTTCCACTGTATATTAAAAGTGTACTTCATTGAGAAAATTGCATTTAAGCAAAGACTTGAAAACAGTGAGGGAGTTTACCATATGGATATCTGTAGGACAAATATTCCAAGCAGAGGAAACAATTAGTGCCAAGGCTGTTCAGTGGGAGTCTGAGGGTTAAAAAGTACATAAAAAGCAGGCCAGTGAAGCTGAAACATAACGAGGAAAATTGTATGAGGTGGAGTCAGATTGCAACAGGAAGCCAAATTATGTGTAACTGGTAGGATGGAATTGGCGTCAATTGAATAGAGGAAAACTGGTTGAGGTAGGTTTGACAGGAGAAATCAGAAGTTAAGTTTTGACTAGTGTATGTTTAAGATATTTATAGTACATCCGTGTGAAGTTGTCATGTAGGCAGTTGGATATAAACCTGAAGTTCTGGGCCAGAAGCTAAATGTGAAAACCATCAACACATAGATAGTACTTATAAGCAGGGAATGGCAATTAGAGCACTAAAGGGTGGAAATTGATAGAGAAATGAAGACAAGCAGGACTGAGTTTTGGAGAGATAGCCAGGACAAGACAAGTTTCAGGTGTTTCCTGTCTACATCTATTAGTAGACCTTCGTGTTTTACTTGATTGATTGATTGGTTGGGCTCAACTAATTCTCCCGCCTCGGCCTCCCAGAGTGCTGGGATTACTGGCATGAGTCACAGCACCTGGCCTGGTGATTTTTTCCCCTTTATTTTAGAGCAGGAGTGGAAGTTTATTTAAAAGCTTTAGAGCAGTAAGGAAGGGAAAGAAGAAAAATACACTTGGAAGAGTCAAGTGGGTGACTTTAGAAACCAAGTGTGTGTCTTGACTTCTTGACTTGGGGTTTTATACCTTGGCATACCTCTGGTATCTTGAGTTCCTTCTCTCCACCCCTGAGATCTTATTGGGAAGCTGCTGATCAGTTTCTGGTGTTTCCTATCTACATGTATTAGTAGACTGACCTTCTCTGGCACTGGCTGTGGCCAATGATTACTTTAGAGAAACAGTTAAAAACTGCCTGACCATCCTCACCTGATAGTTTCCCAGTACTCCTACGGGTGTGTGTGTGTGTGTGTGTGTCCTCTCCCGCCCTGCTCACACCTGACTAGCTATCGGCTGCACCATTTTCTTCCTCAAGATTCCAAGACCCCCAGATACTTGGGGGAAAAACGGACGGAGGTCAGTCTTCTCTAACTGCTTTCTGCTGAGAGAGGGGTGGTGGTGGTTTTGTGGCTCTTGTCCTCTTGCTAGCTGTCAGGGCACGGTTGGTTCTGTAAGTTGGTGAAAGCAGTATTCAGCCAGGTTCAAGGGAGACGGGCAGAATTTCGCCTGTGTCTTGTCCCACTGATAGGCAGTCTAGAGGCCCCCTGTAGACGGGTGACTCTTGAATATTGAGAGGACAGTATTCCTCACTGAGGACCATCTTGAGCTTGAGGGCGATACTTGGAGGTGAAAAGACATTACTTATCTTTCTGCTTAAAGAGGAGCCTCAGGTATTCCAAGGCCTTACAAGTGTGTTCAGAAGCTGAGGGCGTCACTTCTAGCTCTGGCGTTGTGGACCTTTTCCATGGCTTTATAGGGTGTGATGTATCCAGCTGGCAGTCTCTGGTACTTACCGAGTCACTGCACTAAATATGTTACCTGTGGAAGGTGTCCAAGTCACATGGGGACGAATCAGTCTTTAGCAACCTCAGTTCTTGCCTCCTCAGAAGAAAGACTTCAACTGACGGTCATAAGGCAGAAAAAGAGACAGGCAACTTTCAGAGTAGAAGTGTACTATAAAGCTTTAGAACGGTAAAGAGCAAAGGCAAGGAAGAAAAGGAAACTGGGCAGAGGGCCAAGCAGGTGCCTTGAGAAACGAAGTGCACCCCTGGTGATTTTAATTCTATAAATTCTTTATTGGCTATATTTTTACAAAAAGGAATGGTTCTTCATCAATTACTTGATTATCCTGAGGTATAATTTTTACAGCAAAAGTGGGATGAATACTTAATTCTTTTTATGAGAAAGACTTAACTATTGATTGAATATTTTTAATGATTTTAAGATCATTCAGGTTTTTTACAACTCCCTTCAAAGTTATATTCTAATTTGTTATGTTTTATTTTTCTTTTAATTTTAACCCCGTAATCTAGTTATAATAATTTTAATAATTATATTTTATATTATTAAAACAGTTTTAATGTTACTCTCTTTAAATTGGTGGTATTTTCCTTATCAACAGTAAGTGGCTGGTTTTGTCTTGTAGCAGAATAATCAATTCCATTTATCTTTATTGTAATTACTGATATATGTGTATTTATTTTTACCATCTAACTTTGGGTTTTTAATTTAGCCTGCTTTATTTCTTTTTTTTCCTTTACTATTCTTGTCTACTTTTGAATTAAGCCCATTTTCTTTATTCTTATTTCCCCCTCTACTAATAAAGATATTATACATATTCTTGTACTCTTTTTGTAGTTACCTTTCTGCTGAACATTATAAAGACATATAATGCTTAAATTGTGATCAACCTGCTTACAGATGAGTCTAGTATTTGTATTTCAGTTCTTAAGAACTAAGACTTTAACATTAGTTTTCTTAAGCAAATATTAATATTTAAATCCCCAAATTAGATATTATTGCTATTGATTTATACATATTTTTTCAGATTCATCTCATGTTTACCGTTTTCTTTGATTGCTAGCATCTTTTGCATCTCAGGCCTTCCTTAAAAGCTGTTTTCCATTTTCATGAAGTGTACATTTTAGACATTCCTATAGTGATATCTGTTGATAATAAACTCTTTGAGTTTCTGTTCTTTTGCAAATGCCATTATTTTGACTTAATGGGGAAAGATAGTGTTAATGGGAGATATTGTTTTACCTGAAAATTGCCCTCTTGGCATTTTGAAAATATTTCACTATTCTTTTATCTTCTGTTGTTGCTCTTGAGAGGCTAGTCATGAGTATGTTGTCCTGTTGTAGGTAATATGATTTTTTT